GCCCACAGAGAAAAAAAAATGCAAAACAATTTCAGGAACTTCCCAGATTCCTAAACTTCCTAAAAACTTACTCATGGATCTCTCCAACCAAAGAACAAATCCAAGACCCTAGCTCTAACAGTTTAGTAACTGTGCATTTGTTTTAAGTTTGGGGAGTCTTGGATTAAAGGAACCTAGCACAGTACTTGGTAAATAGTAGCTTTCACATGAGTGTACAGAATGAATGTCTTCATTAATAAATAGATGAGTGAATTATGGGAAGTGGAGTGAACTGAGGACCTTAAACAGAAGTTCTTGAATACTAAGACGTATCAGAATGACTCAAATCGTGGTCCTCATGATCTCCACTTCCTGGTGCTCAGCACTATATGTGGGTGGCCTCTAGCTGCTAAGAGCAGTTTCCAGCTGATACCCAGGAAGATGTCCAGGTTCTCAGTCCTATGACTGCAAGAGAATAAATTCTAACAATCTAGAAAATCATGGAAGTAAATTGTTTCAGAAGCTAACCTGTGGATGAGACTGCAACCTGGCCGACACCTCTTGGTGCATAGGTCGATGCTCAACCACTGAGCCACATCAGCCATGCAGATGACTTTATTCTTGACTCATAAATGATGTAACTATATGCAAAGCACTTCGTTTTCTCTGCCTGTGTGCAAAATAATTCTACTACAGTCTAAATTTTCATTAACCCAATGCCAGGAACTCCTGAAGAACTAGCTTTCTAACAAGTTCATAGTACTACCATATGCTCAACCAACTCATCTTTTTAATATTCAGTTGCTCAAATTTTCTCTTAAAAAATAAGATTAGTGCCACAGAATTAAAAAGTCAATGACAGTGATGACTGCACTGAGTTATAAAGTGTACACTGAATGTAGTTTCTCTGAACAGCAAAAGCAAAAACTATAGAGTCAGGCACTCCTGTGTTCATATTCTGCCTTAGATACTCGTTTAGTCATTTGAGATAAATACATTTGATAAAATTCAGTTTACTTGTAATACCAACTTACAATATTGGTGTGGGATAACAAACGCTGTATTTAAACATTTACTAGACTCCTTAATCCATAAATAGAACTCAAATAGTATTCATAAATATCATCAGGTTTCAAAACTATTCTTCATGAGAACTTTACCAACTGATTCATACACAGTCCAGGTAGAGTCAGAAGCACAGGGCAGACAGGGCTTTACAACAGTAAATACAATCTGTAATTTTGCACATGATTAAACAGCAGAAAATACTTTAAAATAAGCTTTCAAAAGAAATACCAGATATAAAAATGACCCTAATCATGATTCTCAATGGGACAAGATTAAGATTTAATTCTGAATTAGTGATAATAAGTTATTTCTGATCCGATCATATAATTTTTATTTGTTTTTAGCTTAGCAGAATTCTTTCATCAATCTAGTTCTATTTGTTAAAAAATAACAATCATCAACTGGAAAATCCCTTACTATTTTCTCAAAATTAATGGTTTTATTGAATTTTACATGGAGTGCATGATCATGTTAATAAGTTCACCTCTTAAGAAAATATGATTTACTTCGATAATTACGTTCGAGAATCATTATATTTTAAAAATAGGAACCATGCAGGTGTAATACCTAATAACCCTACAGATGATACAGATTTGTAATGTATATGTAGATAGCATGATTGCTATAAAATCCTGGCTCTTATCAGGATTATCAGACCCCAGGCAGAAAACTCTACTGAAGACAAAAGAAACGGTTTAAATCTAAATAGCAAGACGATTACTATTGAAGATTATTGCTTCAATTATACTGTACCTCACTTCACACATTTCTCAGAGTTAATTACAAAATGTGAATGAAGAAGTTTAAGGTAATATATCATAATAATATCCTAATATCAATTACCATTTAGTTGTGAATCTCTTAATATTTCTAGGCTATTCCAATTAAATCTGTTCTAGAGATTTACAAAGGAGGTTAAATTTTTAAGTCCCATTAAATGTCAAAAATCTGTTTCTCTCCAGGGGCCCTTAGGGCTCCTCCTTTCTCTTCCTCCACCAAGGAGTACTGTTCTGGTTTAACACATTTTATTGACCTTGATTCTCCTGGGTGAAGTCACTGTGTTGAGATGAATGTTGGTCTGTGCAAGGGTGTTTCATCCCTGGGGTATCTTTTTCCATGTGACTAGATTGGTAAAAACTCTGGGGACGTCCTGAAGCTGGCTTTAGTGTTGTTTTCTTTTTTTTCAGCTTTAGAATAGCTTCTATCTTCTCCCATTTGGAAGTTCGCCCAGTGCTATGCTATTGCCGAGGTGTAAGTCATTGGGTGAGGAGCTATACAGACTGGATAAAGTTGTGGCTTAGGGCAGCTTAGGTTAATCAGACTTATGTTTAAAATGGTATATTCCTATCTTTGTTTTGGCTGAGGCCCAAAGACAAGAGGAGCCAACTGGTTACTCCCCACTGAGAAGAGGTAGTCAAAAACCAGTTTTGAGACCCTCAGCTTAATGCCAACAAGAGATGTTTTAAAACGGAATCAGGAAGCTGGAGACCAGAAATCAGTTTAGAGGGAGCTGTCCTCTCGATCTGACCTCTTCACACAAGCCCAGAAAAAGCTGATTCAATGAACCAGTTAGAGTTAATGGTGCTTAGACTAATTAAAATCAAGAACTCTAAGGGGAATGGTTGGCCAGCTTTCTCAAATGCCATGTGATATAAAGTTGCCTCTTTGACTATGGTCTGTTTTTCTGGACATGTGAAGTGAAAAGATGCATTTTTTTATTTTCCTTATGAGACCAAGATAAAAGATGTAACAGATTGAGAACCAGAGCTTCCTTAGATCTTCCTAAAAAACTGGCTAGAGTAGACTCAGCAAAAGAAGAAGCAAATGTAACCCCACACGCCCATGAGGGGAGAATCACATATCAGAGAAAGCTGCAGAGATGGGGGAACAGCTTGGGGAGGGATGGATGTACTAAGACTTCCCACCACCATCCTGGAAACAGTCAGTTTAAAAATCCTAGAAGTCTGAGAACACTATTGCTGGATTTCCATGACTGGACTAGTTAAGAAAGTGCCTTTGTGGTTTTTACCTCCCCTTAATATTTCTACTGCAATCCCAGAATTGCCATAATAATGATTAGATTGTACTTTAAAACTTTTTTAAATTCTCATCTGAGCTTTTTCCATTTATTTTCAGATAGAATGGGAGAAAGGGAGATAGAGAGAGAGAGATAAACACTGATGTGAGAGAGATATATTGATTCGTTTCCTCCTACATGACGCTGACCAGGGATAGGGACTGAACAGCAACCGAGGTACACAACCTTGACCAGAATCAAACCCACGTCTTTTTGGTTTTGGGGCAGACACTTTATTCTCTGAGCCAAAACGGCACGGGCAATACTTTTTTTTATTTTTTTCTTTGTTGATTTTATAGAGAGAGAAAGGGAGAGGGAGGGAGAGATAGAGATATCGATGAGAGAGAACGACTGGCTTCCTCCTGCATGTCCCAAACTGGGGATTGGGCCCATAACCTAGGCATGTGCCTTGACTTGGAATCGAACTGGCAACCTTTTGGTGCGTGGGTCGACGCTCCACCCCCGAGCCACACCAGCTGGGCTGTACTTTTAATTTTTAAATAAAAGTAAACTAGTTAGTGATATTTATTTTTATAATAACATAATGTAAAATTGTATAACACTTGTCCAAAATTTCCTCCAAAGGCCAAGGAAGAGCCTTCGCAGGGCTTACGTTGAATGGGCAATGGTTTTTGCCATAGGGTGTGGGTCTATGGAGAATAAGGTTCTGCCAAGTGCATTCTCCTCCTTCCCCTTGTTCAATGTACTGATTAAAAACCAAATAGAAATAGAAATAAATAAATAAACACCAAAACTCATTATCACTACTTCATTATCACACTTGTTTTAAATTACTATTGTATCATTTTCTTCAAAGTTTTCATTGAAAAACAACATTCCACAGGGCGATTTTTTTTTCGTATTTTTCATTGACTATGTTCTACTTAACTGTATTTTGTCAATAAAATGTTACACAATGCATTTAACATCTTTGACATCAGATATTTGTTAACAAATGACATTTTGAAATTATACTTATAGCATTTTTTTAATGGTTTATAAAATAAAGGTACAACACACAGTTTAACAGCCACTTGTCCTGGGAACCCTGCCATTGTCTTTTTTCTGTAACAGGAGTGCCCGACTTAAGCTTTGACTGCTGAGGGATCCCCTTCAAAGTCTGTCTCCAATAAACACATTGCCAGCCACACCAGACTCCTTTGTTTTCAAGATCTTGGTTAATTTCAGTAACTGACCATTTAGGCTACTTGCTTGTTTACCCTTCCCATAGGGCCCTACCATTCTTCCTAATGAAAACACAACCTCAGGCCCGGCTGGTATGGCTCAGTGGTTGAGCTGGACCATGCACCAGGAGGTCACCAGTTCCATTCCTGGGCATAAAATATACATGCCCAAGTTGTGGGCCCGATCCCCAGTGGGGGGCACGCAGGAGGCGGTCCATCCATGTTCTCTCTCATTGATGTTTCCATTTCTCCCTCTCTCTTCCTTCCTCTCTCTCTAAAAATCAATAAAGAAAAAAAAGTTTTTAAAAAACACACAACTGCTGGAGGGTGTGCTCACTCTCTCTCCCTCTACAACCACACCTTGTACTCTGTGCTTTCCAGGTCTCTTGAGTAATAAACTTGTATTTTTTCAAAGCTTCCTGAGGGTTGTTGTTGAAGGGCTTCCCGCGATCATAGAACCACAGTGCTGCCCCAGCCACAACATTGGTTATTGATCGGCTAAGACTAATACAAAATACAGTATTTCTCAAGCACATCAGACTTCATATATTTCAAAACATACGACGACGACAAAACCATAAAAACAAACAACCAAGTGTGCATTCCCTTGCCTCCCAGAACGACTGTTTCAAACTCAAGCGCACAACCGCCAACCAGAGGACTCGAGCAGGGAAGTTTTCAAGGACACTCACCCGAGTTGGGGTCAGAGTTGCCATCTGCTTCGGTCCTCTTGTCCGGAGAGGCCTGGTCGTAGAATTCGTCCTGTGGCTGAACCAGAGGAAGAGGGTGTGAGATCAGGGTTCCACTACCCACCGGCTCGTGGTCCCCCAGACCACTGTCACTGCAGCTTTCCTGGGAGCCGTCAGGGAGGTGAAACGTAACGCGGCGCTGCGACTACAAAGAAGACCACAGGACACGCGATTAACATCCTCCCGAACAACACGGGCGCAACGGACACAAATCAAAACAGCTTTCGTCTAACGATATCATAAAAGCAAACTAAATAACTAAATAACAACTTAGGACACATCTAGGCACTGACGTTGATTATTTGCCATCGACTATGTAATGGCCAACTTACAAAATACAAGGAAAAATTTCAGTCTTCATTTAAGAGCAGAAACGAATGGTAAACTGTTGAAAATTGTTGCAAGAGTGGCAAAAAAAAGAATATCTATCCTAGTTGTCAAAGTTACAGAAACATTTTAAATAAGCAGAAATGTGCCATCATATAACGTGACATTCTATTTTTTTTTAATGAACCCACATTTTGTTTACTTAACGATCTTTTAGGTGGTTTTCGGATTGACATTGCTTTTGCCCACTGGCCCAGCTATTACTACCAGTCGTTTATTATAGAATATCTCAGTAGAAAGAGGTGTGAAATATTATTTTGGCATCTATTTGCACAGTGGCTCTATCAGAAGTGACCTAAAATATATATGTGGGTACATCAATAAATTTTGAGCATTTTCATGAAATAAAATTGTGCATTTCGGCACATATCACTGCTTTTTCTCTTGGTAAATATTCCTTTAGCTGATATAAGCCATGCAATATGAAAGTGGAATACAGCTTCATGATCTATAGAATTACATGGTGATAGCAAATTTGTGCTCCCTGTCTGATTGCACCTAATTTTCATTCAGCTTTAACAGCCAAAAGACTTTTCAATATCATGTCACATGTGACCACTTTTACTCAGATTTAATAAAATTGTGAACATATAACTAAAATATATCACATAAATATATAATGTATAATAAAATCATTTCATAACACCTAAGATTTGTGTTTTTCAATAGATAATTTACAGGTTGAATCCATTTTAAAAAACTTTCTGTAATTAGGGACAAAATGCTATAAATAAATATATGCTTCTACTCTATAAATGCATTTTTAAAGACCGACAATCAAACATAGCCTTTTTCCTGAGAGTCATTGGTTCAAATCCAGCTCAGTCATAATGGAGCAGAGCTGATACCACATTACTTGTGTTCAATGACCTGTGTAGAATGATTTGATAGTTCATTGCATTTTTAATAAACTGATGCCAATATCACATAAACTATAATCATAAATGGTACTAATTGAGTCTATGGTAGCACATTTCACCTTCATGCACAACTCTCTCCAGCCATCATCCCTTTCCATCGGTTCTGAAATGTGCCTAGGTTAAGAGTTACACAGTAAGTCAAACTTGAATATTAATATCTGAAATGTACTTCTCTTTTTATAAGAAAGGTCATGCTACCATTTGTTTATTATAGTGTTTTATCTCTCATGTGAATTTAGTCCTTCAGGGAAAATCAATAACACAAGTATTTGTTGTCTCTGTTTCAATATGCCCTTATTCATCAGTATCCCTTTGTGACAAACACGGCGTTGAAGACCGTGACTAGGCTGCTCCTTCTGCATGACTATCAAACGTAACTTTTAAAGTGATTGGCCTACGCCCTGACCACTTTGGCTCAGCAGTTGGAGCATCAGCCCATCGACAGAAGGGTCGTGGGTTCAATTCCTGGTCAAGGGCACATAACTGGGTTGTGTATTCAAACCCAGACCTAGCTGGGGTCATGTAGGAGGCAACCAATCGATGTGAACACATTGATGTTTCTCTCTCTTTCTCTCCCTCCCTCTCTCCCTCCCACTCAATCTAAATACATAAATAATCAGTGGAAAAAATATCCTGGGGTAAGGACTAACAAAAATATAAAAGTAATAATAAAAAAATAAAGTGACTAACTTAACTAAAAAGTCCATCATTTTAGTGATTACAGTATCTTTGGTGTTCCTCTGGAGGAATACCTCTTAGTTATAGATCAGGTGAGTGGAAAAGAAGTCAAACAGAAGAGAGAGACAGTGGAACACATGGTTCTGCCATCCTCTTAAAGCATTTCTGGAAGCCTCACAAGCCATGAAAAAGTATGTTTCATGACAGAAGAAAAAAGGGAAAATTGGTATCTGTGATCTTCTTCTAAATATAAGTAATGTTGCTTTAAAGACAGTATTTTCTTTCCTCCTAAAACAATGCCCACGTCTACACCACCAGTTATGCTGAATCTGGCAGTTCTTACAGATGGTCATTTAAACTCATACTTGTTGAGCATCTATTAAATGCTCGGTGCTGTGATTAAGAATAAAAACTAAAATCTTTTAAACATAACTTTAAAAAATATTAGCAAATTCCATCTCACGTATACTATGCTATTTCTTTACCACTTTAGTAATGAGAATTGATTATAACTCTAGTATAATTTATTTAAATGAGACACTATAAATTAGATGGATAAAATGCTTAAACCACTGTGGCTCATGAAAATACTTCCTAATTAATTTAACTCAACGATGTTTAAGTCTTAATTGGCAAAACTGTGCACAATTTATCAGTCTAATGGGATGTGGGGGTGATGATACATACGGACTAAGAGTTAGAACACACACACAATGGTACTAAGAAAACTCAGCAAGCAAATAGATATCTATATTATCACAATGACTGATGCAAGTAGAAGAATGTCTGAAATATCAAGGTAGATGTAAGGTGATAATTTAAATAAACTGAAATGCAGAAGAATGAGGATCCATGAAGGGTTAAGGAACAGGAGTTGTGGGTGTCACCAAGAACTCGGGGTACTTATTCAAGTTTTGCCAGATTGCACCAGGTGAAGAGCCAGAACCCAACCTCCTGGCTGGGAGCCCTTGCTCTGCAGAGACTGGCCTGGGGCAAGTTACCGCTTTGAATATGTTCCCAGCTTTGTAAAATGGCAAACATCGTGCCTTTGCCAGAGTATTGTACGGCTCAAAATAAGAAGTGTTCCTGGTATATGATCCCTGACATAGTAGATACCCACTAAAAGGTAGCTATCATTCTCGAAATTTATAGCTATATATTATTTTTTAACCTCTCCTTCCATCAATGCTTATGTGGTTTTAAAGATGTGATTTCCTCACCTCAGAAAAGTAAGAGGTTTGTTCTTTCAGAAGTGAAGTGGCTGAGCCCCAGAATCATGGCCTGCCTCACCCTGTGCCCCCAGCTTCTGTCAGCTCAGAGTCCCTCCGGGGCCAGGCTGCTCTGGGTGGGATGGAAGGACAAAGAAGACGCACAGTCTAGAATACATGGTTTTTCCTCCAACAAAGTGATGGTTTCCCCGTTATTCTTTCAAGAAACCTACAATTGTTTGTGTATTGGAAGAGCGAAAGAGGAAAACATTTCTACTCACTACCCCTGGGAATTTCTCTTTTGAGTTATCCCTGTGGAAATAGGCGAAATCTGGGTTATAAATATAGTCCAATTTTGCCTGACTGAATTGGGACAACATATGTTAGGAGACTATTTCAGACTTTCCACTTAGATTTCTGTGTTCCTAAATCTATTTCTTACCCATTTCGTTTTTTCCCATGGGAAACGGTTATTATTATTAATTCATTATTATCTGCTATGCCTGGTTAATGGTTTGAGTGTTACACTGTTCATCTTATTTATCACTGACAAGTTAGCTCCAGGTCCCTCGTTGCCCTAAGAAAGAATAAGATGGGAACAAGTAACTAATAAGGATGTTCCATGTCATGTTCTCTGAGGGCTGCTGATATGCGTTCTGACCAAGCAAACCTCTCATGAGAGACTCTGCACTTTATCCAAGCTCAAGAGACCGAGCATACAAATACAGGTGTGCCCGGGACCCTGCAAGCCAAAAGTGCCACGCCGGTTTGATTAAGAAATCACCAAGGACCTTCACAATCCTTTTTCTTGCAGGTTAGAAGAAAGGCAAGAGAGGGGAAATTGAAGATGCCTCCGGAAGATATATATGTTCCTGCATTGGGTATTGTTCTTCAAGAAAAACTGAGAGGATGAGTCCCCGAAGATACCCCATCATTCTCTGAGTGCTTCTCTTGTGTGTTTTTTACTGCTATAGGGTATTACTCACCAATGACTGACTCACATTCAAGCTCACAATCCCAACCCCATGCATCTAGAGCGATTCTCATGTGCTAAGATTTGGAAGTAAAGTTCATGTTGTATTTAAATAAAATAGCAAAATAAAGGAAAAAGTGAAGTGTTCAATAACCGATGAACTCATAACTTATGTAATATAAAATTGAATAATTTATAATACTTAAAATTATGTTAACTTATATTCAAAGTATTTATAATCTATTGTTAAGTGTAAAAATCATGTCAGTAAAGATTTTGCTTAAATTGCATTGTTCATGTGCTTTTCTATGTGAATATATATCGACTAGATCTGTCTATGCACACACCAAGTGTTTAAAGTGGTATTGTGTAATTAAGAAATTAAGATATTTTATAATCTTATTATTTTGGCTACACTTAAATTTTTATGCCTTGCCTTCGTAATAATAAAACATTCCAATTTTTAAATATTTCTCTTTATCACTAATAATAAATTAGAATTTAGTCCAAGAGAATGGAAAAATCTCATAGACAGAAGGTGAGTTTTCTCTTGAGGTAAAGAATATCAAATAATTTTATCCTTTCTCTGCTATTCTAATTTGTATTCTTTACTTTCTTTATCTGGCTTTTTAATCACCGAAATTAATAATCCTTGCTTTCTCCTCAAATGACATAATAACCACCTGATTCAGACACTAAGCCAATTATTATAAGTGAAATAAACAAATTTACTAGTTAATGACTGACATTTAAAATAATTATTCTCTGGAAAATTATAAATTGATATTATGGAAGGAGAAAAAAGTACTTTAGAACTGTTTAAATGTGGTTATATTTGTAGAGAATTTTAAAATTTTCTTTTAAAGGAAATATTCCTAATTCTGATTTAGTTCCTTTAATCATGTTAAGAAATAATATATCATCTATTTATCTAATCACAAAATAGTACACACACACACACCAGCCATAATTTACTAAT